GGTAATACTTTTGAAGAAAACAATGACTTAAACTTTAATCCATGGGATAACTGCTCAGATGTACTAAATAGCTGTAAATACTACGAACCACGGCAAATCAACACGAGTAGGCCTTATGAATTTAAAGTTCAATCTCTTAATATTCGATCTTTGAGCAAAGCAATCTCTAATATACGTGATGAAATTGAACAGCACCTAAAATTTGATGTTCTGTGTTTCAACGAAACAAACTGCACGGTTGTAAGTATGGCATTTCAAGGAAAAGAATTAGAGTTAGAAGGCTTTCATCCCCCCTTTATTCAGGCTCCCGCAAGGGACTCTGGTAAGGGCGGTGGTCTAGTAACCTATGTAAACAAGAATCTCTGTGAATTATCTGATGTCACTGCACGATCTGAATTATCTTATAGAGATGATCCAAACGTTGGCGAATTTCAGTTAATAGAGATAGCTCAAAATGGCCACAAAAACGTCATACTATGCAATATGTATCGGTCTCCCAGTGGTAATGTCCCCAGTTACTTAGAAAAATTGGAAAACACCCTAAAAGATTTGGCGCGACATAGCAACAAAAACGTATTATTTCTAGGTGATACCAATATTAATCTATTAGAATACGGCGTAAATGACCATACTACTAAATATGTTGATATTTTTGCAGAGTATGGATTCGCACCAACGATATCACGACCAACTCGTATTACTTGTCACAGTGCTACACTTATTGATCACATTTTCGTAAACCAATGCCATGCTATAACAAAGTCAGGCATTATAACTGAATCGCTATCTGATCACCTTGCCACATTTACCGGCATACTTCTCGACACTAATAGAATAGGAAATAAATTGAAAAATGAAACTTGTGAATCATCAAACCGAGTAATAAATGAAGAGAAAATCGCTCGTTTTGAGGAGAAAATAGCGTCTATTGATTGGAATTTTTTACACAACGTTGACGGGACAAATACAAAATTTGAAGCTTTTCACACTAAATATGAAGAAGTCTATAATGAGTGTTTTCCAGTTAAAAAGAAAAAATCAAACCACAGAAAAAACTCTAAACCGTGGATATTAGATTGGCTTCAATGTGCATGCAATCGAAAGAACCAACTATATAAATCCTTTGTTAAAGAGCCTACTGAAAAAAATGAAAAAACTTATAAGCATATGAAAAAGTTTGTTGAAAAACAAGTAGATATTGCGAAAAAGAAGTATTACGCATCATATTTTAAAAAGCATGCGAGCAATAGCAAATTACAATGGCAAATGATTAATCAAATATTAAACAAGAAATCAAAAGAAAAAATAAAAATAAGTAAGATTAACTATAAAAATAGAGTTATAACCGACTCACAAGATATAGCTGACAGTTTTAATGATTATTTTACTAATATAGCTGAGAACCTAAAGAGCGAAAACAATCTGGTTCGCGGTGCAGGATCAGTAGGACATTCTCTTCCCCAATCAAGTCGATGTGATTTTGATATGGAGCTGGAGGACTCCTCGCCCTCCGAAATTGCTGAAATCATACATGATCTTAAGAACAAATCGACTTCAGATATGAATATACAGCCTCTTAAAAAGGTTTGCAATGTGCTGTCTCCAGTAGTTAATCACCTGATCTCACACTCCCTTCACGAAGGAGTATTCCCCGAAAAGCTCAAACTTGCTAAGGTTATCCCACTCCATAAAGGAGGATCGCGCAGCGAAATTACTAACTACAGACCAATCTCACTTTTGTCCTGCTTCTCAAAGATATTCGAAAAAATAATGCATGCACGTTTAGTAAAGCACCTAAAATCACGTAATATTCTATATGCGTCGCAATTTGGTTTTAGATCGGGTCACAGTTGTGAACATGCGTTGCTTGAAGCTCAGTTTAACATACATAAAGCTCTAGAAAGGAAGCAAGTGTCAGCATTACTGCTTCTTGACTTCTCCAAGGCGTTTGACCTAGTAGACAGTGAGATACTGCTACATAAGCTGGAGCACTATGGTGTAAGAGGCCTTAGCTTATCCTGGTTTGAGTCTTATCTAACTAACCGGAAACAGTATGTTCACGTCAACGGTTGCAGTTCAGAAAAAATGGGATTGGAACATGGAGTTCCTCAAGGGTCCATTCTTGGTCCTATATTGTTCATTATTTACATAAACGACCTTGCAAATGTAAGCGATATAGCCCATTATATTTTCTTCGCTGATGATGCAAACATCATCGTTTCTGCCGACACGTACACTGAACTGAACATGCGTGCAAACAGAGTATTAAATACTGTACAGACATGGGTTAAAAACAACGGTCTTAAACTTAATGTAGGAAAAACTAAATACATGATATTCACTAACAGATTACCAGAGGATATAAATATTAGTATAGAAGGACAGCGACTAGTGAAAAGTGAACATGAACGATTTTTAGGTGTCATTATTGACTCAAAACTTAGCTGGAGCCAGCACATTAAACAGGTAAAGACTAAAATATCCAGAAATGCAGGCGTAATGATGAAACTTAAAAGTTCCATTCCGAATAAAGCTCAAAAAATGCTATACAATAGTTTAATTCAATCTCACCTGTATTACTGCGCTACTGTTTGGGGTACTAAATCTTTAAATTCCATTCAGTCTTTATTCTCTGCTCAAAAGAAAGCTATTCGCGCCACTGATTCAGAATATCATAACTATTTTTACGACAAAGAAAAACGTAAACTACCATCTCACACAAAATCCATCTTCAACAAAATAGGAATTTTGGCTCTTCCTAATCTCATTGCTAAAAGCTGTCTAACTTTGATGCACAAGGTTTATATGGGAGTAGCACCATCGAGTATCTGTAGTATATTTGAAAAATCACCGCTTAGACAAACGGAAAGGAGAAATCCAAAGTATTTTGAAATTAAGTTCAACAGCTTACGGATCACCGATTATAGCATCTCTAACGTAGGACCACGATTATATAACAACACGATAAACGAAATAAACAAAATCCTTCCCTTCAACGTACCTAAGTTACAAGATAAGTTTATTAATTCATACAAGGACAACATTGTACGTTACTTACTGGACAAACAAAAACTTGACCTAGAAAACCTTTCGTGGACGGACAAGAACTTTGTCCTTTACAACTTTTAAACAAAATATTAGCAAAATATAACAGCTGTAAGAATCCTAAACGTTAGTAACGCTGTAAGAATCCTAAACGTTAGTGCACTGTGCAGTCAAATAAATGAACTGCGATAATGCATTTGACAGTCAGTCACTGCAATTTATTCTGCAACTTATTTTTCAATTTTCACTGCCACACTTAGGCTTATCTTGCCTACACATTTAAAAAAAAACGAAATTCCTTGCGCACCGCGTACTAAAATTACTTGGATTTCTACCGCTTTGATAAATGACTACATGAAGATGGGGAGTTAATATATATTTTTGATTTATATAATATAGATTATTTATTCTTTAGTGTAGATTAACTTTATTTTTATATATTTTACCAAGTGTGAAGGATCAACCATACGTTATTGATATTTTTGAAATATTTAATGATACATTGATATAATAATAAATGATTGCAATATTTTTATTGAGGCACATGCCACCCCATCGCGGGTTTACTACTAAGTTTAATAAGATATTATAATTTGTGCTTATTCTATTTTTGGGACTGTTGAAATTTTTCTCAAAAAAATTGTGCAGTACTTAAACATAAATATGCGGCATATTTTTGCACTGCCTGACAAAGAATAGAACTGAAATAGACAAACGACGAAATTTCGAGTGGGTTCAGGTTTGGCTAAAAGTTTGCCGACATTTTTCGTCGCTTAAACATATGTCTGCATTATTACGCAACATTTATTGCAACTGAAGTTTTCAACCGCATTTTGATTACACTAAAACTAATTTTATATAACTTAATGACCTTTTGTTAACTTCCCCCTCCGCATATATTCTGCCCCTCTCAAATATCCTATATCACTACCTCTAACCAGGAGATGGTTGACTCTAAGTCCCCCCCCCCCCCCCCACATATTGCGTAAACCAGCTGAGGGAGTAGGAGAGAGAAGGGGGTTTAAAAAAGCTTATTCAAGTACCACACGATAGCTATGTGTAAACTGTAAAGTGGCTCACGGAGAGGGAGGAGGTTTTAAAAAGGAGAAATCTGGCTTACGTAATATGTGAACAGACCCATACAGTGATATGTGTCATTTACAATCTATGAATTATTATTTTATAAGTATTTCATCTTTTATTCGTCGTCTTACTCCCACGATGAATGCTGTCAAAGTTCTGTATTAAAATAATTCAGATTAAAAGTATTCGCCACAAAGACCGAGAATAGGTGGACTAAGAGATTCATAACTGACGAAATAAGCTGGACAATTCGCCAAATTTGCAGCCTTTAGACATTCTCAGGACTATTCAACAGCGTAGTAATTATCACGTTGCCTTACACGATTGTTGGGTTTAACATAATAATTAATAGATGGATAATGTATAAACCTAGTAGAATTACCCTCATATAAATCTTTGCGATTGGATGGGCAGGATGACTGGGACTAGTGGAGCTGGCCGAGTATTCAATATTGTAACTATGACTATAGTACAGGGGCTGGGGGAAGGGGGAAGTCAGTTTACATGATACGTCGGGTCTTCATACTTCCGCCAAAGTGTCCTTTACCCGTTTCATATTTGAGACTTGTTGCTTTGCAGATCACCTGATGACATGCTTGATGCTGTACCAACTCGTTCGAAAATTCTGTCGCTAAAATTTGAAAATTCGAATATTTCAGACCACATTCCAGACTAGATGTTTGGTAGACTGTCTATACTCTATACGTCTATACAGCAAGTTTGCTTGCATATTTTACAATATTCATCATTGATCATCGAAGACGAGTTGTTTGCATCTTTTAGGAGCTAATTTAATCTTCAAGTTAGATAAATTAAATGTATATTAATTATATATCACTCTTCCTAATCAAACCATACTCCTTAGTAATGGGTTGGTTTACCAAAGAGGACCCCTCTAAAGCTGTCTCAGTAGATGGAGTAGCGGTGGGTAAAAAAAGGGCGAAAATATAATTTGTTATAATATCCCCCCCCCCCCCCCCCCCCCAATATGATTATTATACCTTGATGGGTAACTTTACTGTCAATAATTTTTTTGATCATTAAATTGTTTTAACAGAAATGAACGAATTACAGATATAAGAATGATTGTTCCTGATTAAAGTTAATTCAATGAGACGCTTTGGTACTGCACTTGGCTTTTTGTCCAGTGTAGGTGGTGCTACTATGGCGACATCTGTAAGTCTTTGTTACTATGGTGACATCTGTAAGTCTTTGTTGCTAATTTTAGGTTAATTTCTACTATCAAGGTTATATAATAATAGTGAAAAAGTATCAATGTGAAGTAGACACGATCACACAAAAATAAGAATTTGCAGACAATGTTATTTTAATTTTGTTATAGGGACGAGTTTCAGCTAAGAAACTTCCTGTGGTAAGACTATAACGAGTAATGACAGCATGTTTTTCAGTTTTTAAATTGCAAAGTGAAGTATGTTGCAGTGTTACTGCTTGTAGTCCTTACTTTTGTGATTTTCAAAGATACTTTTCAAAGCCCTGAGTATAACCTAGTGAGTAAATTTAGTGAGTGACTTTCAAGTTATAATAAGCTGCAAATTGTCATCATTTTCTGGAAGAATGTGACTTGTTATATATTCATATCATGGAGCATACTGATGTTTAAGAACCTGTTGTTCTTGTGCCACATATCATAAGTACGTGTTCTCCAGTGATGGTATTGTGAGATTAATTAAGAGTAATTGAAAAGACAGCCACTAATTCGCCACTGCATTGCGGACAATACACATAATATTATATAATACATTATACATTATACAACATGTTGTTGTATGTTCCTAGCAAATTAGTATAATTGGGTACAATTTACACTTAGTGTCTCCTAAACGGTGTGATAAATTACTTGCTGCTAGGTTTGTTGCACCGTACACATATTGTAATAAGGTAACTCTTCTGTGTGCATCTGTTTACTGTTTCATGATTTGACTGTTGGATTAGTCTCTCGTTTGCATAGTTGCGGTAGGTATCATAATGTTAACAGGGTGTCCTAATATAAGGTTATATTTCAACACATTTAAGATGCTTAATGACAGATCTGCTAAGTCTAGAGTAATACTACTGTTGTTGTGCTGTTGGACATTTTTTCCTTCAAATTTTAATCTTGTGTTTAATTTTGTTTAATTTTGTTCATTGTCAGGTTATTCGGTAAATTAGAGGCTGATGGTCATTTGTGCTTTTTAAAATTATTTATGTAAGCTTGAAGCTGATTTGTATCTTGAACGCTTTCGTTTGTATAAATTCAGGTCATTTGTCATTAAAGATCCAAAGTGTCTTTTGTGCTCTTGTGTTGTCCTTTTATAATTTTTCGATCGATTTAAGAGTGATTTCATTTCATTGGTAAATGAGCACTCGAATCAAAAAGTTTACCGAATTTTACCAGAAAAGGCATATGTTTAAGAAAAGGTTTGGAGGGACCTCCAGCTGCAATGCAGCCTCCACCGCTTGTGGAGGGGACCCGGCCCCGGATCCCGGTTGTGGAGGAAATGCTGGGTGTGGCGGTAGTGGGGCGGCGGCAGTTCAAGAGAAGCCACCATCTCCTAAATCTAGGAAAGAGTTGCTAGCCAGAGTGAGTTGTGTTGTGTGTGCTGTGACAGCAGACAGACTCACAGCACATGTGAGTCTGTCTGCTGTAACTTTAGGGTTTTACTTTTGTGTTTTACTTTGCAGTTTTATTTATTGTGATATTGCTTATTTGTTTTATAGCCTATACTTCCCTTTTGAATTGCTGATTCTGGCATTGTATGCTGACTGTCAGGTTGTAATATGTTTAGAGATTGATGTATAAAGTTAAGTTCCAAACATTTAACAAAAGATTGATATTCATCCGCATCCTCTCTGGATCATGAATTTAACCATAAGTTTAAGATTTAATAAAAACGTCAATGTTTATTTTATAGATATTATAAACAGCACCAGAATAGTAAAATAAGAAGGTATGGTGTGATGGGCTTGGGGGTCTGGAGGCCCGGGGGGGGGGGGGGGGGGGGGAGGCGGGGAGTGGGGGGTGGGGGGGGGGGGGTGGGGGGGGTCAAGGGACGTGGGTCTGCTAAAGGTATGATTAACAACTCTAAAAAATCAAGAATTATGAAGATATAACACTGCAATGATGTTTTCAGCAGCAGATTAAGTTTCAACGAACTCTAACGTTGAGTAGCTAGTTGTATTACTTCTCTGTTGCAGTGCTCATTACACAATTGCACATCCTAACAATGAGGTTTTTAGATCATATTGTTTTCTTATGCACCAGGTACCGTTAGTAATTTACCTTTAGTTTAGTAGTTAGTAGTTTACCTTTGTTCCTTTATGCTGTGTAAGTTTTTATTAACTTAATTCGATAAACATTGTTCTACACATTACACATCAGCATAAAATAACATATTTATGCTAGAACAGGAAAATATTTGTGGCTGAAACAATTATCTTGTCCCGTCAATACACTTTTTTGATGAAACAAAATAAAAGTTAATAAACTAAACACTTGCATGGATTTTGGATTGATTGCAATTTTATAACGGCATTTGAAAATGTTCAAATTCCTAAATATCTTGGCAAAGGTTCAGATCAGCAACGTACACAATTGACTTCCTTCGAGTGCTGATGTTTGTGGGGGAATTAAGTGGGAAAGTGGGCGTGAATAATAAGTTCTGCCGGAAACGGAAAATTCGTAGTATAACTCTGTAATCTGTAGGTATGCTGTTTGCAAAACTTGGCTCTTCTCCCATCCTCAACTGTCTTGGATGGTAGCCAGAGTATTAGAAGATGATTAATTAAATGATCTGAACAAGAGCGCATTTTGAAAATTATTTTAAGGAAGTTAAATATTTTAGAGTATTCATATTTCACGTACCTAGTATCGTTTGTTCTGGCTTTAACGTTTAAAATTAAGGAATAGTAAGATCGCATGATTTTAGTCTGAACGTGACTGTTTTCCGTACTAATATTACTTTTTTTGGCCTAAAGTCATGTTCAGAAAAATGTCCAGAACACCGACTCTTGTCCGAATTCGGATCACATTTAATTTGCAACCTTATATCTTGTTAAACAGCAGTCTATAACTATAAACAGCAGTCTATAACTGTTCTCTTAGTGTTGCAGAAAAGCGGCAACCTAGAATCTCTACCACCTCCTTCCAGAAAGAACGCTGCTGCTTTGAGACTCTAGATATTCATTATATAGGCGGGGACCTCCTGCAGGATCCTGGAAATGCCACTGCTATAATGTTACAAACAAGGCAATTACATGAACCGAACGTCCTTCGTGAGCGTTGGTTCTTAGCCTAATAGGGGTTCTAGTCTTGAGTCCACTATTTGGGCATACTTGTAAGGATACACTGCCATGGGGCCGTGATTTTCTGTTGTTTTAACGTTTTCCCCCCTTTTCCAAGTTTCGGAACTACTCTACTATGGTAACGTTCTAAGGTAAGTTACGCATGTTAGAGCGATAATAGCTTCCCTAACTAAAAAAGGTAATTACCTCCCGGACGACCCGAGTTTGTGAGTCCCCCCACCCCCCCCCCCCCCCCCCCCCCCCCCCCCCCCCCCCCCCCCCCCCCCCCCCCCCCCCCCCCCCCCCCCCCCTGAGAACTCAACCACACAACACAAAAACTTTAGCTTTTTTAATGCATGGTCTCTGTAAAACGAGTTGACCATTTTTAATTCCTCTTTGTAAAGATCAAGAGCATCGCTATCTGCAGCTGACATCTCTACCTCTTCTGCGGAATCTTTGAAATATCTGAATCAGACCAACAACTGGAAAAAGTACTCCCTTATCAAAGAATCGCCTATCCACTAATACACTATCCAGGAACTTTTCGCTATGATTAGAGCTATCATCAGCAAGATTAAATACTTCTTCGAGCAGGATAAGGTAAATAAGGAGTCCGATTGTCCCCCACTTTGGTATAGCACATCTTTGGTTTAAAACAAGTTCGGACAAAATTCGTGTTCGGACAAAGCAAGAGTCATGTTACTTCTGTAATCTGTATCCGCATGGTATGTATCTAAGATGAGAAGTACGAATGAGTCGGACTTTTCAATTTACTCGTATCGTACGTACTTTTCAATTCTACTGAAAAGTTCTCCTTCTAGAAATTAATGGAAGAGTTCTAAGAGTTACATTATACAAACAATTACATTATACAACGGCCCCGATGATAATAATTCAAAAACAAAAAAATTATACCTTAATCGTACGTCGTATGAGTCGGACTTTTCAAAGTTGCGTACAAGTACGTACTTTTCCCCCTAAACGAGTCCGTACTTCTCATCTTAGGTATGTATCACAGTTTGGCTCATAGATCGTGAATTAGATTTTCATCGTGTCAGACTCAATGACTTATCTTTGTTCTTTGATGCTAAGATAATATTTTGGCCGTAAACAAGAGGATTGAGGTGACTTCAATTCTTTAAACGACTCTAAAGTTGCTCTCTCATGAGTCATTAATCATGAAGATTATCTTGGATACTGCTTGACTCTGGAGTCTGGTCAACACTCTGGCAGCCGTGGTGGAATATGTGTTACCTTTACCAAGGCGCTAGGCATGTTCTTAAAATCTCACGGTTCTTTTGTGTACGTCAAGGAGTATTTTCTTATCTGACATCTAATATTACCCGGAAGTAGACAGGAAATTTCATGACATCTCTTATTTTTGGTAGATATCTAAATTTTCGTGGAAAAGCGGCTTAGACATAAGTTCTGTATAAGTTGGGTGCTGGGTAGAAACATTTCGAGTGAAAATTCAATATACCAACTTCTCGTAAATTATTAACTTGACTTACTAACAGTGATTGTCCAATTGTCAAATCGTAAAAGCCATTTTTCTATGATCACTAAATTAAATGGGACAAATCACTCCCTTATCTTGTCACTGAGTTGAGGATAAACAGATTAGATATCTTAAAACGAATTTCATTGGCTGCCGTTTTTTGACTTTTCACATGAAAATTGTTAAGTTGTAAATTTAATTATGTAGTATCACTGCACGTTATGCTCTTTATCTTGCAATTCCTTTATCAGTAATACTGATAAAAATTCAAAATCGCGTGATCTCATTCGCCTGGTTTTATATATTTTGACCTGCTTGTTGGTAATGCTAGTTTAGTTCTAGTTACTGTTCTGGTGACTGTTGGTACTGAGGCGCGATGCAAACCTTTTGGATGTGGCTGTTAGCCACGTCTCAAATCACACAAAAGAAGGAGGAGGTTCGTGTAACTTTATCTTTCTGTAATATTATTATTTTCACTCACTTTTGACAGGCAGACAGGCTCCGCCCTTAGTTTTAATTTAAATTTCCTGTTAATCAACATGTCTTATTATTCGATGCTTTCTCGAAATGTACAGCAGTGATTGATCCTTTATGACAGTGAAATTAATGATTTCTCCTTCTCTTGATGACAGTGAAAGTAATCATAAATGATCACAAATTTATATATTAATATCTAATGTCTAACTGTTAATCTAAATTTAAATTGTAATTCAATACTTTATCAGTAATATATTAAGTGTGTCTGTCTTGGTGTTCGGTTACTTTTTGCCTATTTCATTGTTGTACCCGTTTCTTTCTCTACCGTAGCTGGAACCTTATTATTTGTGCTATTGTAATCAGTATATCAATTTACGGAGACCAGTATGGGCTCTAGTACGAGTAAATGTGAATTGCTCAGCAAAGTAAGTGAGAATGAGGTGGTAGCAGGGTTTGTAATTTATATTTCTAATTTGAACTTGAGACACGTATGTAAATTGATGGTATCATCGAGCCGTAACTTACAGAAAATTTACACCGAATAAAAGTGACATCACAAATCCACATTGTGCATTATAGGAAAGTTTTAGGAACATGTCGTATCGGTACATCTGGTTTGTCGACTTTTGAAGAGTTATTATGTTTTGATGAAGGAGTAATAGGTAACACGATGACGGAAAGTTGAACACTCACTAATTATATGCCGTGGTTTACTCACTTTCTAGCAACTGAGCGTCATGCTGTGCTTGTAGCAGTGTAGTCGTGTAGTTTTTTACTGTGTAAGTTCTTCATGTTATGGTTATGGGTTGCTCTGGAAGTAAGGATAAAGAGGTTAAACGCCCTAAAGTAAGTAGCATTGATAAGTCAGTAAGTTTTGTTGCAGTAAGTCGATAAAATGTGTATTTTATATTTACATTATAGCAGCAAAATACATCGGACGAAATACTTATATGGCGTGGCCGACTGATACTGAATTCCTCTGTTGATATAATAATGATATATTAATTTACTATCATGTACTCTTTTCTCTCGTCACTTGTACTCACGGAGAACCTTCAATACATTCCCAGTTCTGTATTGTTCTTGCAACCTCATCGGTACTACAGTATATCTCATGTAGTAGCTATCTTAGTTTCGTCGCTACTAATTATCTCAGTTTCATCATTTTGTTTAACGGAGTGCTGGTATGTTTAGGTGTTCAAAAGCTGGATCTTCTTGCGTGGTAATTACTTTACAATATGCAAACGCTAGGACCCTCTCTGATTGGGATTTCAATATCGTGTCTGGGGTTATATCTGTATTATCTGGGGTTATATCTGTACTGATAGTTGGCCAATATCCATATTTATCAAAGCAGGGTAAACTTATCTTACTAACTTAAAACAATATGGCTAAAGTAAAAAGAACGGTTAACTATATAAAGTTTATCGTCAGAGACCACTAACCAAGATGTGAATACCAGCTCACGTTTAATTTAGAATTTCTATCGAATAATTTCATGCCGATTTAAAAAAATCTTGTGTGTGGGTGTGAAGCAGTTTCAGAGTGATAGCTTGTCTGTAATAACGTGTAGCTGTGATAGTGTGATAGCTTATCTGTGATTTAATAGTTCGTAGCTGCCGCGCCTATTATTATATGCTGATTGCTGATCACTGATCTTCAAAATCAAGTTTGTTTCCCTTGATTTACTAATAAAAGTTTAAATGATTAAATTACAGTGATCTTCTAGGTTGTCAGTTCAATACTCAAAAATTTTCTTCAGTGACTAACATTTATTCATCTGGCAAGCCTCGAAGTTCTATCAAGCCTCAAAAATGTTCCCTTCGGCTAATAAACTGTCGGTGTCGCTCAATCATTCCACTGATCAAATTGAATAATAATTACAAATAATCATCAGAATAGCAGCTAATCTCACTAATCTCACTACACCCTATTTTCAGTACTCCAGTGTGTTCGAGTTTAAAGATATCACAGATATTCACGAACAGACCCAGGACCTAGCTAAATACAAGTAAAGTGTTTATAATTTATAACACTCGCCTAACCTCGTATTTGACTAAGATTTATCGCCTAACAGAGGATGTCTCTTGTTCTTATCAAACTAATATTAGTAATTGTGACACTAGCTTCACAATATATTCATGTTAGTTACCACTTATTTGTTACCATGACACCACTCTCACCCACAGAGGTAACGTTACCCTGGTGGTAAACGTGGCGTCTTACTGAGGACTAACCCCACTCAACTACGAACAACTACAACAACTACACGAGAAGTACCATGATAAAGGATTAAGTATTCTAGCTTTCCCTAGCAATCAATTCGGCAACCAGGTCAGTGATATGATTATTAGTAACAATTATTGTTCAATTCTCAAAATTAACCAAGCTTTATATTTTCAAATAGCAAAATATTCGCAACTGTAATTCCCCTAAATCGTTGTTAGACTAAACTAAAAGGCATACCATGTCATGTTCCTCTTACTTTTAAAGTTCTCGCATTAAAACCAGAACATCTGTGTAGATTATGCTATGTATGGAAGTGTTGAGAGTTGTGCAATACCGTGGTGCGTATTAGGTATCATTACAATTAGATCAGTCGTGACAGGAACCTCAGTTACAAGGTGGTTCCTCCTTCTCTCATGATGTTAAATGTACATACCCATTACCCAGATGTATTATTTGCACAGACGTGTATTGTTACTAACATAAGGAGGCTCGCATATGTTATGTTTGTATTATCGGTGTAAAAGTGCGTCACACAAGTACATTCTACGTTTAACAGTCGTTAGTGCACCTTGGTACATACAGGCTGCTAGGCTATCCACTATGTTTTGGTGGGTTTCTCAATAAGATCCATTACGTAATAAAGTACCTAATTACAGTACCTAATACAGTACCTAATAAAGTACCTAATGCAGTACCTAATACAGTACCTAATACAGTACCTAATACAGTACCTAATACAGTACCTAATACAGTACCTAATGCAGTACCTAATACAGTACCTAATACAGTACCTAATACAGTACCTAATACAGTACCTAATACAGTACCTAATACAGTACCTTATGCAGTACCTAATACAGTACCTAATACAGTACCTAATACAGTACCTAATACAGTACATAATACAGTACCTAATACAGTACCTAATACAGTACCTAATAAATTACCTAATACAGTACCTAATACAGTACATAATACAGTACCTAATACAGTACCTAATACAGTACCTAATACAGTACCTAATACAGTACCTAATACAGTACATAATACAGTACCTAATACAGTACCTAATACAGTACCTAATACAGTACCTAATACAGTACCTAATACAGTACCTAATACAGTACCTAATGAGTAATGATTAACCTAACACATGACATGTTCACAGGAGCCGGGAACTGATGAAGAGATAATAGAGTTTGTGAAGAAGTACGGTGTTACTTTCGACATGTTTCACAAGATTAATGTCAATGGAGCTAACGCTATTCCGCTTTACAAGGTATTGATTATTAGCTTTTATTTACGTTAACTTACATTTTTTACATTATGTATTTACAAGAAAATACAATTTTTTTTTGTTTCAGCCACGTTGCTACCAGAATTCTGCAGTGTTATGATAGCTTTCACTTTTTTAAATCTGAAGTGTTTTCAATTTTCTTCTTTAGACATTTTCTTATTCACTAATTCGCTTATGTCAATAAAAATTTGAAGGAATTGGATGAGACCACAATCTAACCTCTTCCTCGGTGACATATTTTAAAATGGACAGAATAATTTAAGGTTTTGTTTTAACGGATTTTAAAACAATATTCGTTTGTAGAACAACCCAAATCAATGAAGATAAACTCTTCAACTATGCTTCGGAATCTTTTGAGGTCTCCTTTTTAGATATGAATGGTGTAAATTTCCAGTCATCTTGATTCTAGAAGGAGAAATTATGTTCTCAAAAATATCCACCTTTTAGGATATATTCGTGTGCGACTGCTTTCACTGTTATTGACAGGAATTGCTACAAAGCACTAAAAATTGTGGTGTAAAACTTGTGTCATGCAAGATACCTGATTTAGGGCGAAGAAAAGGAACTATTTAAAGATAAATTAAAGTTCATTTTAGCTCCTTAAATGTAAAGATCCTTATTTCAAACTCAGCCATTTTTGATTGTGCACATTTTTCGTCATATTCAGAATCTTATGCAGTACCTATTCAATTCTGAATATTGATGCACCAAAATACTCGATGGGGTTAATATCTTTGTTTAATATCAGCATTCAGCATTCAGCATTCAGCGTTTACTATACTTGGATTATGTCTTCTTTATCTTGCAGTTAATTCCTACCCTGAAAGCGACAGTAATTATTCTATTAATGTTTATTCTGTGCAAGAGCTTTAAGGAAGCTATGTCTACATATAAAAATGGGTGGTTTTCAAGGAGTTTAGTTTGAGCTGAGCATGGTGTTCTTGTGTTTGTTGTATGTTTGCTGTATTCAGATCATATCAAATTGAAATATTGCTAGATGTTTATCTCAAGTATTGCTAGATCATAGATGTCAATCTCAAGTATTGTTAGATTTCAGTCCTAAGTATTGCTAGATGTTAATCTCAAGTATTGCTAGATCATAGATGTCAATATCAAGTATTGTTAGATTTCAGTCCGAAGTATTGCTAGATGTTCATCTCAAGTATTGCTAGATCATAGATGTCAATATCAAGTATTGTTAGATTTCAGTCCTAAGTATTGCTAGATGTTCATCTCAAGTATTGCTAGATCATAGATGTCAATATCAAGTATTGTTAGATTTCAGTCCTAAGTATTGCTAGATGTTCATCTCAAGTATTGCTAGATCATAGATGTCAATATCAAGTATTGTTAGATTTCAGTCCTAAGTATTGCTAGATGTTCATCTCAAGTATTGCTAGATCATAGATGTCAATCCCGAGTATTGCTAGATTTCAGTCCAAAGTATTCCTAGATATCGATTGCCAATCTCAAGCATTGCTAGATTTTAGCCCAGAGTGTTGCTAGATTTTCGCCCAAGGTATTCCTTAATGTCAAGTCTTTCTTGCTAGATGTTAGCCCGAAGTATTTTTCATAATTCACTGTAATGGTAAATGGTTATATCTTATCAGAGCAATAAAGACGCCCAACAAATCCAACTGTTCAAGGTAAGCTACAAATAAGATCGATTTACTAACTACTGAGCGAAATTTAATTCACGAAGTCATAAGTTGGCACCGTGTCAGATGGTAGTATATTATGAACTTGTTTATCATGGCGTATCTGGATATCGTTGTAAGACTTCTACATTAGTTATCAGTGATGAGAGGCTGTATTATTTCCATGTCACATCTTATTCATATAAAACAAATGATGGGACTGTCGATGTCAACATTTTACATATTCTGTTCTAATGTACAAATTGGTGGTCACAACTCGAGTTGCAACGTGCAATCCCTGAACCCCGCTAATCAGGGAGTCGGGACGGACACTACAAGTTGCGCTTCCGAGGGACCGTCGTGAGAACCATACTTAACGGAGCGCGCGGAGGCAAAACTTTTGATTTTGTCACGCCGTGTTGGCGCGCATGCGTGCGCTGCGTGCAATTTCTAATAGATCCTACTGTCATGACTGTACATTAATTAAATGCACAATAATACATACCCAACAATACAGGGAGTACAAAAGTCGATTTCTTAATATAAACCAGATTACATGCGGTCTACAATCATCTAATACTCGTATTTCATTTCAGTGGCTAAAGGAGAAGCTTCCAGGCACCCTCACCAACGCCATCAAATGGAACTTCACCAAATTCTTAAGCGACCGGAACGGTGTCCCTATCAAGAGATACGCTCCTAACTTTGCTCCAAACGACATCATCCCGGATATTGAAAAGCTCCTGGCACAGGAGCCCGCCAAGGAAGTGAACGAAGAATCTTAAGATAATTTCACCTGACGTCTAATATCAAAACTATTCTTTGTTTACGCCGATCATTTTGGTTGTAATTTTTGGGGAAATCCTTAATAATCCTTTTATATGTTTTTTATAACTTCTCGTATTACCATGTTCTGTTAAAGAACGCAAGACAATTAACTCGTAGTTGAGTTACCCGGTGTAAGTGGGTTAGATCGGGTATGTTGTAGTTCCCTTTCTTTCTCTGCAAGCACCAGTCAAAATAAGTTGCTTTTTAATATGATCGAACTTTCTTAAACCCTATGGGTGGATTGTATAGTGATGTAAAAGTTTTCCTTATTTTGTGAACTTATTGTTTTTCTTTGAAAAGATAAATTGGTCCTCTTCAAACATCAAAACAGGCCAGTGACCACATCGGTTGAAAATGAAGACCTTAGAAAATAAACCATTTATATTAGTCAGTTAACTGAGGATAGTATGAGATCAAATTGAGGTACTGGAAGTCAAAATTGCCGAAAATTTGTTCACCCCCATGAGAAAATAAAAAGACCATATAATACAGGAAATGAGAATGGTCACAGTTAACAAATACATCTTTACGATAAAACTTCATCAAGAAGATTAAATTGAAATTGCACACCGAAAAGAAACATAAAATTTGTGTGTTTATCAGCAAACGGAAAAAGTTCGTGTAGTTTTAAAACGTAGATAATTGATAAATTCAACGTCACATAAACAAGCCTAAAGCTGAAACCAGTGCAGTCTAATCCGCTAAAATGGTACATATAGCCGAGTGAACCTCAGCTATGGCAGCCACGGTTTGTGTCTTGAGAGCGAGGCTTGGTGGTGCACCAGCAGGTAACCTCAGCTCACCTAACACCCATATCCCGTTAGTGAACTTGACGGATGTGTAGATGAGGTGCTCACCGTCTCCACCCTGCCGGGTTGCGACTACGAACACGTTGTTTGCTGCGAGCACTGCTTCCACTTGATCTGGGGATGAATTAGTCGAGTTTTAGTCACGCGACTATTTGGAGACCATTAAATTGGTATATATAAATATGTAAGTGGCAAAGTTTTGGTAATCTTACATTCACTATTTAAACATTCAATGAAATGGCGGATGTGCCGAGGAATGAAAATTTGAAATGTCTCAAGAAAATCGAAAACATTATCCTAAAAAAGCAGTAGTGGTGGTACCTTGCGATTTTTTGGTGAAAGGAAGCTGGAATTGCTTCTCCTTCTCGTCTGGAATTTCCCTCCACATTTGTGGGAAGAGATTACGCTCCATGCTGCCTTCTTCCACGAATAGAACATAGGCTGGCACTAAGCACTCGAAGTAGAAAACATCGATATCGTTCTTCATCGCCATTTGTACTTTGAGGAGCGGATCCATTTTCATGACCGGACCAGTAGTTACGATAGAAAGTGATGTTGTGGCAGATACGCCCGGTAAAACTGGAGAATTGACAGCCAGAGGAGCTCCTGGAGATAACCCGAAACTGTTTTTGTTCAATTGAATGGCAAACCCAGACATGGCCTGAAAGAATTTAAATATTAAATTTGGAACTGCAATAACTACGAATGAGGTTTGACAGCAATATTTTTTTCATGCTAAACTCCATAAAAAGTGAAAACAAAAAGGTACAATAGCTTCATTCGTTTACATACCATCATGGTCTTGTTAGCGAAAGTCAAGTCGATGAAAATGCCTTTGTTTCTACGAGCAAACGTTGCTGAAACCTCCAGACCCTTAGCTCGAGCAGCGGGAAGGATAACTTGGGGAGGCGCGACGTAGGTAGTTGGAGCGGATAGCGAGAATAGATCCATGGGACTTGAGGCGACAGGGGCAGCTACTGGAGCTCCACCTCCGAGCTACAATAGAGAAGAGTTGAGAAGAAGTAACCTTCAGAATTAATAATATCAGATGTACAAAATTATTCCGGATAACTGACAATTTGAACGAAAAACTGAATAACAGCTTGTTTACTCACGTCCATTCCACCGAAAATATCTCCCAAAAGATCAGCGACAGGTTGGGCCTGGTTGGCATTGTTGACAGGTTGTTGAGCGGGAGTAGGAGCAGGATAGTCCAGACTGAGCAGATCCCCAATCAGGAGATCTCCTCCACCAACCTCCTCCTGAGGTGCTCCTGTCTCCTCTGTTTCGTTGTACTCTGCTCTGTCGTCCTCTTCACTGAGAATATTCATATCTATCAGTTCTAGCATTTTAACTGGTGGAGAGTTAAGAAAATTATCGTATTATTTGGAAGCTCTTTCAGTAACTAAAACAAATTATGACATCTCCAAACTTACATGTGGGGATCAGTTTCGGCGGCGTCATCAGCGTTTCTGTTGACTTGAATCTTCCTAACAGGTACTCTTCCCTCGACGAAAGCAGAGGGTGGTTTGTGGTACACACTAGCAAGAGACGAGATGTGACATATCAACTCGTCGAGCAGTGTCGGTTCAATCAGATCCGTTTCTTCAGATATCAGGGGCTTCTCGGCTAAAACAACCTGGGAATATTAAGTTTATCTCTCTAATCTTTTAGAATCTTCTCAAATTGGCTTTCTACATCATTGGCTATTTGATGGCAAGGTCATCGGCTGTTATTATTATATACACAGCAAGTTCTATTAATTGAGCAACTCATAATTTCCAGTTTGATATCATAAATCTACACGTGCGCGCGGAAAACTCAGCAAAATATGACAAATGCGAAGACCCTTTTCTCGATTCTGCACGGCTCTGCCAGATCAGTTGCTACTTGGAAGCAGACGGTGCTGGAATCTGAACGATTGGCTATTTCGTTCAAACACACAACTAATTAATAAACAAATAACCTCTTTAGCAGCAGCCGGGTCGGTGGAGAGTAGTCTCCAGTAAATATAACCACGATCCCTAAGATCAGGGTTATCGGAGTCTTGTGTTGCCAGGGACAGAACTTTCTGTACCAACTCCTGTGTTTCTTGTGGCTTCTTCAGGAACAGTTTCACGATAGCAGTTAGAAGTTGTAGCTGCACCTGAAGAGAGATATGTGTTAAATGTGGTTCATTGACTACAATGTCTAAGGGAACTGTTTAGACAGTGTCTAGTGGACACTTGTATAATAATTTATGCGTAACAATAAGGTTGCTTTCAATCTAACCTAAACTTGATATATACTATTATACTGCTCAGTTATGTATAACAGTGAAATCAAAACGTGACCAACGTGACTATGATCGACGCGAAATGACAGTTTTTTACATAAGATATCTTATGTTTAATTCTATAAATAACTCAAAATCAAAATCATCACATCATATTCTACGGACGATAACAAAATGTACAAACGTGTAAAAATACAGCGAACATGATGTATAGTGTGTACCTGTGTGTTCTCATCGTGGAATCCATCCAAGAAGGACTGGAGTATCTCGTCCGCATTATCAATCCTCTCCGCGTACTCCCCAACAATCCAGATCATAGCAGCACGGGCTTCAGGCTCGTCAAGTGAATCTAGATTCTCACAGAGGGTCGAGATAATGGTCTCGTACTTGTTAGGGTACTTTCGGAAGATATCCTGAGGTTTTATATATTATGTTATGACGTGTAAAATTAAAACTGATTAACAATGCGAACAGAACTTATTTAAATTTAAAAAGGGATTATTTGTATTTATTGTATCAAAGAAACACAAAGATTATCAACTGTGATCGGATCAATATTCACTGACCTTGATGACAACTATAGCCTCCTGGACGACATAGTTGACTTTAGTTTGAATGAGCTCCAACAGAGTAGTCACGCACTTCTCAGCGCTAGGCTCCACTTTGATAGCGCAGCGCCCGATAGCGCGCACTGCCTTGCGCACAAAGTCTACATCCACCTCGGTAGCATACTCTTTTAACTCAGCGAGCACCTGTGAGTAGATACATTTATAAACTATACGTTTCGTTCATTGAAAGAGCAGTGAAATTGATTTAACATATTGATGCAATATCCTATAACATCACACTTCAAGTACGCTGTAGAGTACACATTTTCAAAACAGTGATCTGAGTACGCTGACATATAGTGAAAGTGTGATATTATCATGTTCAGTTTACCTGTGCGATGTTGGTCTGAGCAGCAAGTCGTATCATGATATCAAGTTTCTCCAACTTCACGTAGATGGGGTCGTTATACTTTACGAAGAAGGCTTTTATCTCGTGTTTTAGAATGTCTGGACGCTTTTGGACGACCAAGTTGATGTTTCTCAGAGCAACGTACTGTAAAAGAGGTTTTTGTAATAATCATAAAATTAATATATTATGTAAACGTGACAGATAAAAAAGAATCAAATCAACTGTTAGTGTATCTATGCACTGCACTGTGTAATAGGAAACAAGCGAGTGAGAAATGAAATAAACCAATTTAGAGCCGGTATATAAGTGAGCTGATCTAAACATTACCTGAATCTCAGCTTCAGCAGAAAGTAGGGTAACGAGAGGGGGAGCTAACTTCTTCTGTAACATCTGCACAAACTCCGTGTTATTGATCTGGTCCATCAGCTTCATCAGCACTTTCACTGCGCTCAGCACCACGGCGGCGTTGGCGTGCGCAAGTCGAGGCGTGATACGCTCGCAAATACTGGGGGTTTGAGAAGTGTTATCTGCTGCTGATTTAACATGAATATAATTGATCACTCATAAAACAGACCAATTGTTTTTGTTTCCATTTGAATATATCTCTAACACACTCTAACCCACTCTAACCAACTCTAACCTACTCTAACCCACACTAACCAACTCTAAAAAACTCTAACCCACTCTAACCAACTCTAACCTACTCTAACCCACACTAACCAACTCTAAAAAAACTCTAACCAACTCTAACCAACTCTAACCCACTCTAACCCACCTGATGCACTCCTTCTCGTCTCTAGGAGAGTAATTGTTGAGAGAGTCCAGGATGAAGATTTGTCCCCACTCAGTACACTCATTGAGTGCTGTTAGCAGTTTGTTCACTGTGGGAGTGTCTATGTTCACCTGGGATAGATTTACTTTCAGTAAAATATGCTTGCAAACATCGCTAGTTTAGTAACTTTACATCCCACTTAATCCTTGAGTCAGGTCGGAAACTCTACAAACTCTAACCTGTTTAGCTGCGTTAGGATTAGTGTCGAGTATTTCAGAGATAGCAGCTACAGCGTTAGCCACCACCATTGGGTTACTATCACAGAGCAGCTCTCCAAGAGTCTCCAGGAACCCTTGGTCCTCTACTCGCGCGGCGCTGATGTCGTGCAACTTGGCGACACACACTGCTGCGGTTTTTCGTACATAAGGATCTTCGTCCTGGAGTGTGGACATTTTAGGGTGTTGCAAATCTTAGTCGTGATTTTAGAGATTAAGTTGAAGTTAAGCTACAATAGATTATATTGTAATCCCTCTTTAAATACACAATCAAATGTTTGCAGTAACCCGCCAGTAAGGTACACAGTACGGAGGTACGGCCTACGGTACGGTACAGTACGGTACACAGTACAGTACGGTACACAGTACGGTACACAGTACGGTACACTCACCTTGAGACATTTCCTGAGTGGTTCACACAGGTACTCAGTTATCTTCTCTACCCTGATACATCCCATAGTTCTTACTGCCAGAGCTCTTATCAGGGGGTTCGGGTCCTCACAATCCTGAGAGATACAAATGTTTGGTCATTATCAATTCACCTGTATTATAGACTTACCGATGATGGCATTTGGCACTGATTACCGAGCAAATAGCAAAGCCTTGTAATAAAACTACAATTATTGTACCTTGACAAAAGTGTTTACAGCCAGAATGGCTAGGTCCGGTTGTGTTTTAGCGTAGTTGATGAGGTAGAGATACACCAGCTTCTTCAGCTCCAAGTTGTCAGTCTGCATGCACATCGTCACATCTGTGAACAAAGCACTCACGTCCTTACCAACTGTCATGCTGGCGATTACCTGTTAATAAAAACTCTTATCTCTAGTGGTAGGTAGCTTCATTTGTGCAGTTTTATAGGGGTCACGCGGAAAAAGTGGTTACAAAGTGGAACATTATTTTCGATTGAAAATACAATGGTCTGAACATATTAAGCAGTTACAAATTACAGTGATATGACGTACGTATTGAATACTCATCATCTAATGGTAAATGAAGAAAAAATAAAGCAATTGTGATCTAAAAGTTACGATTCAAACCTTTTTAACGGCTTCCTTTTTCTTCTCTTTTTTATCACTGTTCAGTTCCGCTTTCAGCTCGTATATTTCACCCTTCTTTTGGGTGTTAAAATACTTGCTGTCGGACATCTTGCCTGGAAAATTATCTGTTAATACAAAACATAAAATCCCCAAAGTTGGTAAACGTAATAGGTTTGTCTTTTGAGCAGTTGCTCAAATAAGTATACGTAGCTGAATGAAAAGCTGAACACATTAAATGGTGTCAAATCTTGGCCATTTCAGCATTTACAAAAACCAAAAAGGAAAATCACACAAATATTGTGCGCAGGATAACCCATTCTAACTGTTGTTTAGTTGTTAAAATGGTTTGAATATTTGAATTAATAACATAGCATAATGTACAGTTAATGTACCACATCGGCCGCTTGGTAAACAGGACGAAATTATACATGCCAACAAAAGAAAGTAACATTTTCACTTAATCATGTCATACGGCATACGCATTCTCAATTGTAACATTCAGCCTCATGTAATAGAAACAAATCCATTCACCGGGCAAAATAAACCGTCCAGCTTCAACCAGTCGATGTGGTATTTAAACTTTATCAAACACCCCCAAAAACGCAGAGTACATGCAGTCCCAAGCATTATAAAGTACAACCCAAACTTAAAAAATAAAAAGAAAGCAGTAAAACTCACTGGTGGAATGATACACGTACATACTAACACACAGATCTGTGGAAATACTACCACAGACTCCACAGAGCTGAACTAGAGTAACAACACAGACAGAGCAGCTCACTACGCATATATCAACTAGAATAAAGAGAATAGACAACTGTTCCAGCGCACACTGAGCAATGTACAGAGGTGTTATAGCAAGTGAGATTTATTATATACAGCATTATATTTATACACGGGCTCACAACGCCTTCTCTAATTTCCCATAGAAATTCAGCCTTTAGTTTTGCGCATCAGCTTGTTTTGTCCAGCTGCCAGGTATCTAATTACTTGTTCGTGTGTTTTGTGGTGGGGTGGAATTTCATAATCTGCTCGGTTTGCTGAACTCCCAAAACAGTTAACAGTGTGAATAACGTGCATAATATAACATATTATTATGTAATATGTATAGGACAACATGCATAATATAACATATTATTATGTAATATGTATAGGACAACATGCATAATATACCATATTATTATGTAATTATAGGACAACATGCAGCATCTACTCAGCTAATAATACAATCTACGCTTAGGATAAAACAAGCACTTAGCTATACTGTATACACGTTATAACCTACGTGCTGATGACAAATTCAGCACTAGAATGTGCAATATTCATTATTCACTAATCACTATACACTACCTACTATACACTACCTACTATACACTACACACAGACACCACTTTAACCATTAACCAACCAATAACCATACACCACTACCAGTACACTACCAGTACACTACCAGTACACTACCAGTACACTACCAGTACATCTGATACAAAATTAAACTCACCCCTCATCGTAGTAATACTTCCAAGAGAGACCATGTTTTAGTAGCTATACTAGGCTATGAGGAAGAGAGAACAGCTCACACAACGAGCAGGTAACAACGATCAAATAAGAGAGTAATGTGATACGTGTATTATATAAACAGTGAGAGCTCCCTGCCGCTTCAACCTGTTCACCAGGCTCTCTTAGGAAGTGGAATTTGTTTCTACGTCACACATTGAACACAGTCATTAGCTGTGTTGCGATCATAACGAGGACAAGTTTTTTTTTTTTGGAGTTTCGAGCGTGTTTGGAGTTTCGCGGATTGTTTTTTAATTTAAAAAGTAAGTAGTATTTTCGTTAAATCGATTACTAATGCCATTAACTGATTTACAGGGCCAAAGATCTTCGTTATGATTCATAATCTCATAACATTCGCTCTCAATGATTTGATTAAATATTCGTAACTCAAAGGTAACCCTCTTATCTCATAATTTAAATTTTCATATCAGTAAAATAATTTCTCATTTCGTGCAAGATTCATGCGGATCTGCAGATAATGATTAAAATGCGGAATAACGGACCTGGTAAGAAAACCAAATACGGACAGAGCCTGCATGTTATCTTATTGCATAATTAGCATCAATCCCATTCCAATTTTATGAACTTATTCTATCGATGAATCATAACTAATTTCAGGAAAAAGTGCTTCACAATGTTATAGCTCGAGATAACATAAATAAACAACATGAACACACATTACACCCCCAACAAAGCTTCAGGAATGTACATTTCTTTAGAATTTAACATTCCTGAAGCTAGCACAAGCAGACAGGGCCGTGAAATAACGGGGTAAACCGGTAAAACCTTAACGAGGTCATGTCTTAGAGGGGGCCTTCACTTAAAAAACCTGGAATTGTCAAATTTCCGCGAGTTCTCAACTGTCAATTGATTAGTACCCCGACGAATGTTAACCAGTCCCCAAGAATTCATTTTACGGCCCTGCAAACAGTTAAAAGAAGAGTTTTGTGAAAAGCATTCTTTTCTCAAAAACAGGATAAGGGCTTCCCAATAGCACTACATTAGTCGATGTACAATAAATATACAAGTGGATGGGAGGCCCCCAAAGAAAAGAGTCTACGTTTGCACAAGGCAAGTTCAGGCAAGTTCAAGAAGATCTCACGACACAAACACAGACACCTACCCCCCATCTTTCCAACACCACCGTCACGGAATGCGTTAAAGTTCATACTCATGCTGACTAACTTGATAACAGGGTGTTTTTAATCTAAATACTTGGTGATCTCTCTAAAACGTGGAGATAATTATTGTCTTCTTAGAAAAATTATCTGTGACATTCATTTAACATTTAATAATAATTAAAACGATTGTTGATCGAGGAACGTTACCAACCATCGTAACAATCAACCAAATGCTGGGATATGAAGAATAAACAACGAATAAATAACGAAATACACGATAACTTGTATAACCTGTATAACATAAGTATTCACCAAAAGAAAAGCTCACATCTCACAACTGCTAACAGTACTATTCAACAGAGATAAGTGCATTGTGCTAACTGTCTCGTTAAAACACTGTAAACCTACAAGGCAACGTAGCTATAAGGAAATACCCTTAATGATTACTGATATAATATGTTAAAGGATGAGGGGACCTTAGAAAAAGTTTTTTTCTCGTGCAAATCATATTATTACATTAATCGTAAAAACCACTTTAGTGAAATCCGCAAAGTCGTATTTCATTCGCGCGCCGAGATATCCAGCCAAAACAATTTGAACCTGTGACGTCAATTATGTGAGTTGCTCTGATCCGCGCATATAGAAATACAGGTAAAATGAGCGTGCGGGCTGACTAAATTACTAATTAAGAATACATAAACAATTTACAATACTAACAAGCCTATAACCAATGGAGAGGAGACTTTTTATGACCGGTTGAAAAAAGAATTATCACCCTACGATAACCATGAGCCGAGATACACCTGAAATAAGATTGAAGTCACACAGAAAGGCATGTAAATTATGTATATTTATAGCTCCCAACGTAACACCTAGCAACTCCCTGTATCGTACCACAGTTGATATATCAACATGTCATATCAACACAACACGGTCCTAATAAAAACGGATCGGGTAGGTATGAAATGCATGTCTTCATTCCAGTTGGACAAGCACCAAGCACCAAGCTTTTAAGTTCTAACTCACTATGTGACACTATGGGGGGGTTGCAACGACCATTAATGACCATTAATGACCATTAATGACCATTAATGACCATTAATGACAATGTCAGTTTTGTCAAAATTTCATCTACTGACATTAATGGTCATGTTTTTTCCGGCACTTCTTAGAGCGAAATGGACGGACGCCTGCATCACTTAGACCCTACCTTAAGTTAACTAACTACAAGTATATGTTATTATTTTACATTTACAATTAGAGATTCGAAAGAGAAAACTTAGAATATAATCTTCCGTGGTTAGGCAGACCTTCCAGAATATCACTTGAGTGGATTCCAGAGTGAGTTAGGGATTACATTTATTAAGTTCGAATGTAATGAAGAACAAATTTTGCGGCCACGGGATTTAAACCAGATAACAGTTGGTGACTTATAGTTATCAATAATAATAATTCAAATGGCAATTTAGGAGTATCAGATCGTATCAATAGTAAAATAACAATCAATAATAAAATAATAATAACACGGGTATTAAAATTAAATACTTCGTTCCCGTTCTTATATCATATCAAGATTTATATTTTAGCCAAATCATTATGCTAGTCGATTATAGGAGGATACAAATGTAGCATTGTATGCAGATGACACCAAAATTTGGAGGGTCATCGAATGCTTTGAAGACCACTATATTCTCCAAGGAGATATAGACAGGTTGTTTGCCTGGTCAATCGATAACAAAATGACTTTTCACCCTTCAAAGTGTAAGGTGTTATCTGTAACTCTGCAAAGAAATGTATTAGACAATCTTCCTTTTAATATTTATTGGTATAATCTTAATGAAGTCATAATTGATTATGTGGCATCCCATACAGATCTTGGTGTAATAATGAACAACAGATTTCTGTGGGGTGCACATTGTGATCAATTGATATCTAAAGCAAGCTCAAAGCTTGGGCTCTTAAAGAGAACCTGTCATTTTACCATGGATAAACGCAAAAAGAGGGCTTTCTACCTTACCATTGTAAGATCAATCTTTGAACATTGCTCAGTTATATGGTGTCCTCAGCGATCGACACACATGTCGAAGTTTGAGGCAATCCAGAAAAGAGCGATCAAATGGATCAATGGACAACAGTTTGATCATTATAGTGATATTGAATTCTATGAGAAGCAGAAGGAGCTTAAAATTCTACCCATTAGATCTAAGTTCATCCATAATTCAATTACGCTCTTCTATAAAATAGTAAATGATTTGGTAAGTATATCTCTACCTGAATATATTACTGTTGTTGAAGCTGGAACAATGAGGTACACAAGGAGCACGGCATCAGTCATTGAAGGACTTGACACCAGCACATATACCTGCTCTATTGTACCAAACTGCGATAGTTTCAGAAACAGCTTCTTTTATAGAACAATGCTTCTGTGGAATGCACTGCCAGCCTATGTTAGACAGACTGAGAAAATTTCTATTTTCAAAACAAAGCTAACTGAATTTCTCTGGTCTTCTGACGTATGCTGGCCTGATTAGATGGCCCATCATGGAATATTATTATATATATATTTTACTTTATGAATGTCATACTCTCTATAATTTGCCCCTCGCACCTGCAGTAGAACGCGCCGTTTTTTCTTTTATGAAACAACCCGAAACAAGCGCGTCACGCAGTACGTGAGTGGCTAGATTGTAGATTGTTTTATTATAATATTATTTAATTATGTTATTTTGTTGTTATGTCGTGTAAGTTTGTGGAGTAGTAGCAAGAAGGTATCGTATACATTTAAATTTGTTCTCTTGATTATTTATTAATGATTTTATGTAGGGTCGGCACCAATGTTATTATGGTCTTACCACCGTGTTTTGGTTCAGCCGAAATAAATTTTACGTTGATGTTTTTACAATTTGTTTCTCACTCCAGCTGAGTCTGGTAGTGTTGAGTATCATGAATATTTTTCTAGCTCTCTTTTTCCATGTTTTTGCTTCACAGGAGATATTGTGGTCTTTTTATTGAATATAACTGTAATACATTGATGTAAAGTTTATTTGAATTTTGAAATAAATAAAATATAGTAATTACACAGTAGATGAACTTATTCAACTTTAGCACTTCATGAAATACATCGTCATCAGTCTGAATCGGACAACAAAAAAGCTGATCTTTTCCTATCCTACTAGGATTAGATAGAACAATTCGTTTACAGTTCAATACTCTGCCTTCAGCAGTTTTGACCCAAAATCGAGCACTGTCATCATGATAGGGACAAATTGATGCGGCAGGAATTCGTCTAGATCTGCAGTTGCCCTTTTTTGAAGCAGAGACACTCATTGATAAGATGGTACCGAGGCAACGAAGGGGACGTTTAGCCTTTTTTGGAACAAAGGTAGCACTTAATGAGTCGCCCTTTCGAATTGTTCGACGTTGACAGGGCTTAGAAGAATTTTTGCAGCCCGGTTGGTATGTCACAGAACCCTCGAAACAGCCGGTACCAAAAAATGTCGATCTCCGACTTTTATTTCCAAATATCGTCTTACCAAAATTACAGAACTTCGTAATAGCGGTGTTTTTGTTCATTTTCTTGTTTTTTATAGTAACTAAGTCATGAAGATCCTTGTCTTCACTTTCACTATCTGGTGCGACGAAATCTGACTCATTATCTGATTCCTCAGAATTTCAATTATTTGATGACCATTAATGACCATTAATGACCATTAATGACCATTAATGACCATTAATGACCATTAATGACCATTAATGACAATGTCAGTTTTGACAAAATTCCATCTACTGACATTAATGGTCGTTGCAACCCCCCCGACACTATTTATAACGTAAGCAAGATTTGCAACTATTACACCAAGCAATATTATACCAAGCATAGCAGACGAACACATCCACATTCGTTACGCTTTACACTCAAGTCACAGCAAACTAAAACGGTAAATTATAAATGAGTGTACAACTAAAGGCCGGTACACGCGCAGTGCCAAACCGCACGTGCGCACTCAGATAGGACTAGAGGCGCCAAGGGCCAGCTAGTAAAATGTATTCTACTACATCATACATTCAATCGATTTTTAGATCTTCTGTTGCGGCGCTTTGCTGTCTTAAAAGTTTGTTCATTTGAAAGCTTTTTCACTATAAATATAAAGAGTGTCTTTATACATCCAATTGCATCCAAATACTGGAGCTGAACGGACTGGGTAAAGGACGGCGCTTCAGACTACCACAGTGTGTGGTGAGAGTTATCCGCAGAATGTACCCCAGCAAGTCAGGCAAATATGTCGGATTTAAATCACTAAACGAACAAGTTTCGGAAAAGCTAAACATATATTAAGTGGGTCGGTCAACATATCTTCTATTTCATATGTATTGTGCTCTGCCAATTGCAACACTTGATTTGATTGTGCTCTGCCGATTGCAACACTTGATTTTATATTGTTCGTCGCACATTTCATATGAAAATACATTCCTTTATTCTTGTATAAAGAAATATGCCGATTTTTAATTGTGTCCATATCGGGTTTCAAACAAGTCAAAACAAAATAGCAGTTTGTGGTTTAGTTAGCGGATGCTACTTATCTTAGCTATTTATAAATAGAAATACCTACTACAACTACAAGAAAGCCTTTCTGAGTTACATTTAACTATTAAAGAGAATTATTCGTAACTTAGACTAATTCAGTGCAACCAAAGATACCGCTCTCGCAAACGCCAAAGGTAACACGACGTAAGTAAAACAGAACAGGACATAATGTTGACACGAGCGAAGGGTTTGCGCGCACGCACGTTGGTCTTACACATAATTGACGTCACAGCCCAAAATTGCTATCAGCCAATAGGAGCGCGGCGTGATATTGCACGAATTATCGATTTCACAGTCCGGCGTATTTTTTGATTCTACACACTTTCACAGGACTTAAACGCGAATATTTGAAAGTAAATTCTAAGGTCCCCTCATCCTTTAAGATTATCCAGGAATATATCCTGTAAATCAAACGTACATTAAAACCATAGAACATGTAATCATGTCGCGTTTTAAAGTTAAATTATTATACAGTACAATTTAAAATGATTCTTTGATGTTGAGACAGTTTGTTTCGTTATAGTTAGTTACCTGTCATCATTTTGGTATCTTGTACTTCTTTTACACTGTTACCTAAACTGGACTGTTTGTTAGAAAAAGGGGTAAAACATATGTAATATAATAATACATATATTATGTAATATATGCCCTTAAATGAAATATATTTGATAACAGATTGTGTGTCATAAAACTTCACCAAGAGGAAGCTGTTATAATCATGTGTATATATACTTGTATGAACTAAAGCACATATTGTCTAATTTAGAGTAACGGGAGATCAGTAAAGATATAGACGAATAAAAGTAACAAGTATTGAAATTGTATCCGGTATAATATATTATTGGACTTTGTATAAAACATCACAAATTTAGCACAATAAAAACTCCATATTACACAAAAATAAAATGCCTTTTATCACCAATTTTATTCAAGAATCTTTTGTATATCAATACTCTTCACTTTCCAAATTTGTACTAATAAGTTATGTGATAAAAGCATTTGAAAAGAAAAGTCTGCTGAAAAAGGTCACTGAAAATAGACATTATTTCATAAATGCTGTAAACTTATGATAAAATTTGTGTACACTCAGCGATTGTCACAAGTCCATAACTGTATTTAACTGTATTATAACTAGGAACTTGCATGATTCGGGATGGGTCGAATGCACATGTAGACTGTAGAGGGCACACCCATCATAATTTACACACGATGAACCAATAAACTTGAATTTCAGTCATTAACATCTGACACAATACCTCTCTGCTTATCAATGATGTTTTTGATGTAGTATTCCCCTGCTTTATAAGAAGACCTCACCAAAGGTCCACTGGCAACATAAGCAAAGCCCATGTCCATCCCCAGTTGTTCCCAATGTTTGAACTTCTCCGGAGTCACATATTCTTTGACCTTGAGATGCCTTTTTGTTGGCTGCATGTACTGTCCAAAAGTGACAACATCAACAGAGTTCTTTCTGAGATCTTCCATTGTTTCAACAATTTCTTCATCAGCTTCTCCTAAACCCAACATGAGAGAGGTTTTGGTGAGGAGGCCAGGTGATGACTCCTTTGCTTTAATCAGCACCTCCATACTTTGCTTATAATTTGCTCTGGGATCTCTCACAAACGCTTGCAATCGATTGACTGTCTCCAAATTGTGTGCAAAAACATCCATTCCAGAGGAAGCTAAACGTTCAACTGCATCTAAGTCACCTCTAAAGTCAGGAGCTAAAACCTCTACAAGAAGGTCTGGAACTTGAAGTTTCAGTTCTTTAACACATTCAGCTAGGTGAGATGCCCCACCATCTGAAATGTCATCTCTGTCAACTGATGTCAGTACAATGTAATGAACACCCCAACTGCCCACTGCTTTTGCAGTGTTGTACGGTTCCAACGGATCAAGGGGACCTGGGTTTTTCGATGTTTTTACTGAACAAAATCTACAACCTCTAGTGCATTCATCTCCCATCAACATTATAGTAGCGGTAGCAGTATTAGTATCACCACCACCCCAACACTCCCCAATATTTGGACATCTTGCCTCTTCACATACAGTGGTAAGGTTTAAACTCCGCAGATCAGTCTTTAGCTTAGTGTAATTCTTGCCCTTAGGAATGGCAGTTTGCAGCCAACGAGGCAAGCGTTTGCGCTCCTTTTTGACCTGCTTATCCAAGCTTGCTGTAATAAAGTAATCAAGACCAGGACCTTCTTTAACTTTAGTTGTCTTGTAACGTGAGGAACAGTTCCAGGTACCTATGCGCAGAGAGCAACTTCGGATGTGCAGCATCTTTGTGTGTCAACATAGACCTGCTAAAAATGTATCAATGTTAAAAATAGGAACCTTTAGCAATATAATATTACTTTGAATAGCTGAATCTAACATAAATTGCAAGGACTATGTCAACCATTTCATCACAGTAATTAGATAAAATCAGCAATCATAAGTTTGACTTTAATGAAGATTGAATAAAGACCTGCAAAATCAATATTTTGGTAGATTTTTCAATGACTAAAAAATCAATCAGTCTTTCTTAATTTATTTTAATCATGTTTGAAACACCAATAGTTTCAAATAAATATTATAAAAATAAATATTATAAGAATAAATAGTATAAAAATAAATAGTATAAACAATTTGTCAAACAAAAATGGGAAAATTATTTCAAGTTACCTTTCTGGCTTAAATAGGAAATACCTATAATTCCTAACTTCCTCTAGTAGCAAGACCCAAGGTGAACTAATTCATTGATATTTTAACTTTTTAACACAAGAATATCCAGGAGGTCTTTGTTCTCCATTCTGATCCATGTCTTTAGTTTCCTTGCTCCAGTTGAATGATCCTAGAACCTCTTGCTATGGTATTATACGGTGTCTACCCTGACAGAGGAGTTTGTTTATAGTTGGACAACAATAATCGTTTTCGTGGTAGTGTCCTGTTGTAACAAGATAGACCCCTGGCAGTAGGGTGAGAATCCCTGCCACGTTTTTGGTCAATTTCGCCGGGGCTCATGTCTTTCCTCGAGGGAGCATTAGTGTCTACAGAAAAACTGACAAATCCTAGCGAAGTCCAATCCGAACCACATCTTCCATCAGAGGTGGTGCTGGGTCAGCTGGTTACTGAACGGATTGGCCTGGAGAATGGCATAGTCCTGTTACTCTCAAGTTAACCATAGAGGGGGACAGGCGCTGTTTGCTCACGGCTGGTTCTTGGAGCCAACACCCTCAGCCCCACATAAGTGGGAGCACTGTCGGTGGTGGCGCACCCAGATAACGGACTGTGTCTCTCCTTCTTTCTTCTTGGACTTGCATTGTTGCTGGCGAGTCAGCCAGTACCAATGCAGCATCTCACTCACTCAATCACCTCAGCAATTCGGTCCTTTTTTTCATTTGCATTACTTTCGCTCATTCTCCTGTCATAATGCATTCTCTGCTACCATAATGCCTTTCTTACCACGGTGTGTTACACCTTGCGTCTTTCTCTAACACCATCACCATTTCAGCAACCTTGGAATTTTAACCCTACACAGGTACACAGCACTATGGATATCCACTCTCCACTCTACAGCAAACACAAAGCTAGAGATCTAATTAGGATTCGAGTACCCCGGCTACCCTTGTGACATACATACGTGGAAACCAGTTTAAGCAGCAGTACATCAACACAATGGATCAGCACTACGAAATCTGATATCTGCATCATACTACTCCGATCCAGAAATCTTCGCTAAACCATCACATGAGATGAATAACTACAAGTTGGACTCCACATAACATTATTCCTTGTTATGATCAGTCAATAAAATATGTAATCTGCATCAATTTTCCAATAATCACATCTTCTTACCAGTTTATTTTCCCTCTCAGGGCTGGAACGCAATGTTACAGCCCACCTTATAAATTACTAAAACCCGAGTTATTCCAGATTGACGACTTGACACAGATATTCAGCAGACAACCTAAATAAGGGACTCCCACTCTCCGAACCAGTAGAGATCCAATCACTGCCTCCAGGTTACCCCTTCATCCGGTATTAGCAGTTCCTCCACCACCACCAGGTTAGAACACTCCCACTAATCACCCCTAAAAAAACGAACCTACCGCCTTGCTCCACCAAACACAACTACAATCAAATCCATTTTCTCAAACCGGTAAAATCCGTCCTCCAAATTTCCCGCATTAAACGTAACACGCGAACGCCATTCAACTCAAGGATGTAGCAACATAATAGCTGTCATTTTTCTAACAGAAAATTTAGTGCGCGCCCGAGATTGCGCAAAAATAAACTGCGACGTACTAATCCACATACTTGAAACTCCAGGTTGATCAAGATTAGTAAACTCAAGGAAGATGATACCAGATCAGTCCCGAACTTCGCCTCAACATCATACCCTGCCTAGTGTCGATAAAGAGGATTCACAAACAAACGAGATTCATTTACAAATATTTATTATCACTTTCTACAATTGCAGCTCTTCGTTGTTTTAATTATCGCCATCAACCTTGAATATATCGGAGAAGACCCGATAACAATTTATCAACTCATGCGTCTTACTTCATTAACAAAGAAAAATGACTTAACTACTACTATACTACGAACTATGAATCTTAACCATGCTACTATAAATATTTATGTAGCGTGAAACTCAATACTTATAAAGTAACAGCACCGTCATAACCCACACATCACCTTCGCACAAATCAGCTATTCCCATTCACTCACGAGCGTCGACATATCTCCCCATGTACACCTGTAAATTGGAACGGCCCCCCCGCGATGCGGAGCAGGTGAGCTACCTGGTTCGGGCTATTTCACTTATCAGAACGTACACTAGCACCACAATACAATCGACTCAAGCCCTCAGATTTGCACGCATCCATCACCGTCACAGGGCCGGCTGTCCACATCCTGTAAAATCCTGATTCTATACGCTCGCGGGGTTTATTACCTGTTTGAGCTCTATTATTACGCGCGCGTGCCCAGTGTACAGCTCACCGGCCTGCGTTGTCCACTGGACATGGATGTCGCCTACATGACCCTCTAATCTAAAAGTAGGTTGAGGGCACCACAGCGGGCCTAGCGCTGCCCTCTGTCGACATACATACATACATACATAGACGTCTGGCAGGGAGAGAATAGTTTCATATAATCCTTTACTGGGAAGAGGCAGTAATGTGTTGTTTAACTTTTAAGTAACCTATACATTCAACCTTGTTGAAAAGCACCTCGAATTCTGGAGGTGGGATGTGGAATGTTTAAAGAATGCTGGGTACTCGACCATACACCTTCTGATTGATGTGATAGGTCATGACAAGCCAGTTGATCTGCTCTGGTGAGATCTGCTTATCTATTTCCCCACCTCCACTATCCAGAGCACATATCACTGCTTCCACTTTATCTGAGTGTTCACCGTAAATCGGCAGGAAGTAGTTTGAAACACCAAACAGAGATTCAGGTCCCATGACAGAGAAAGATAAGTTCAATGTTTGATTGTACTTCATCAGCGTCAGCCTGTCTCCCTTCTTCTTGCTCAGATCATCGTGATTTCCAAACACATGCGCCCAGGGAGTATTGTGCTGCAGGCAGTACGTACTTCCAGTATGAGGTCGCATTGGAGTCGATATTGTTTCCGGTTAGTTTGTCACCTGTGGGACAAAGTCAGGTCTCTCAGCAGTCAGAACAGAGTGCATCACGTGATCCGAGTTCTTGTCCTGTATTGGTCCCCATGGTGTAAACTCATCCTCCCCATAATGCAGATCTGTAAACTGTGCTATTTTGAACTTCCCTTTTTTAAATCTCAGTGGCTCAGCTGAGAGGCACCAAAACAAGAGAAGTTTGTAGCAAGCGGACATAATATTTAAAAGCATATCCGAAAATTCGTGAGTTAGGCCATTACATTTGGCCTACACACTCACGTGACTTTATCTAATACATGAACTATATCATAATATGTTGCCAGCTCTATAAATAAACAAATTAATTAAAATGTAGAAGAATAATGGGAATTTAAGTACTTTGGTAGTGTGGTCAAATATTGTGGTCAAGTTTCTCTATGACAATTTTTATATTAATCGCCAGTACTGGTTCTTGCATAGTCAAAACAAAATTATATTTTAAGGAGATCACTTGGTTGCATTCATACCCCTACAGCCCTTTTACAATAAATCAAAGTGTATGAAACTATAAAGAGTGGGTGAAATCCAATCGCACCTGGCGGGGTATATCCACAAAGTTCTTTCTCACCCCTCTGTCTACCCGGAGGGAAATCACTGTTGTTCTAAGGATTTCAGATCGAAGACGATTCCTTATATATATCCAATAGCATCTGAATATCTTTGACCTGTGTAATATTCCATTTTATTAGCCAGCTTATTCACCAGTCTTTCGGCTTCACCACACATATTCCACCACAATAATATAGTTCGATGTTTACAGTACACTACTATGTAGTAAACTGTCAACAGACTGCCAATCTATCTAAAAAAATTGACGGATAACTATTTAAGTCACCACTGATTCACGAAATCAGTTTGAGGAAATTTTCACACTAGCGCTCGATCTTGATTCATAATTCATGATTTTTATTAAAATTGAGAAAAGCGCGGCGCCCGAACTTTTGATCTTCGTTCGGGAAAAGCCACTTTTAATTTTACTTATCGAGGCATCGACCAATGTGCATTGATATGATATAATTTGATACATGTTTCGTATCCCAATATCAGCGGCGCGAAAAGTGGCATGCAACGTATGTCAAGATATAATAATATTACCTAGCTGCGAATTTTGAGCAGCAGTTGTTTGTAAACACAATGATTGAAAATATAGTGGAATATACTGCCGCACAGTAAATATAATTGTAGCGCGATGCACTACTGGGCCGCGCCGCGCATCAAATAATTCTTCTCGCAACCACTTCCATAACACATAAATCGGCAAAATGCACCACTGGGCCTCGCCGAGCTGGGAAGGATTAATATGACATCGTAAATTAATAAATATAATAGCACAATGCATAAATGTCGATTCTTAACGGGTGATACTCTGTGGCGATTTGTAATACGTTGTATATGACCCGCCGCGCACGAGTGCCGCGGCTCCCCCTGTATCGTAGAAACTCTACCCTAGTGAACCGACCGTGGGGGTCACGACGTGATACTATATACAAGTGGCAATTAGATTTAGACCGTTTGTGGACATGCTTACACGTTTTTGGGTATATGAATAATAGATTTTATTGTGAAAGTAAGCTTTGACATACGTTCCATGCCACTTTTCGCGCGCGAATATTTGTGATACGTAACGTATGTATCAAAATAAGCTATATTAATTTACTTTTTATGCTGATTTCGAATAAAACTTATTACTTAGCATGAAAATAATTTCTTGACGAGCTCGTCATAACTAGTTATGAGCAAATAACTATTTTTGTTAAACCGATCCCAGGAAACCGGACCTTACTGCCTGGCGGGCTTGCTAGAGATGATTATTTTTCAATAGCTAAAGCTCGCTGCTCGCACGCGTTTTACAATTTGAGTTTAGCCATGTAGTCATGACTTGTCATACGTTGTATTACCCGCCGCGCACGAGTGCGCGGCTCCCCTGTATCGTAGAAACTTAACTTTACATACAGTGTATCGTAGAAACTCTATAGTGAAATGACAATGAAGCCACGACGTGATACAATTCATAATAACATTAACTACATTAATTTGCAAAGTTATAAAACTGCGACCTTTTATTTGGCCCAAAATCATATTTTCGGGATAACTCAAAATTTACAATGTCCCTAATTTTCCTCCTGTACTACTGGGAAGGTAACGTTACTTTTACAAGGCGAACATTTTGCAAAAACCGGAAGTCTTTAGCTCTTTTACTTTCGAAGTTAGGCCCCAGCCGGTAAGGTTCCCCGGAAAGGTCAAGGTATCGTTGTTGGCATAAACCACCAAAGGTAGCCTATGCCTTACCTGGGGACCTCAGGCTATTATATTTATGTTCATAATCATAGAATAGTTAACGGGTGATACTCGTAAAACATCTGTTCCATATATTGGACCGTCGACGAGTCCAACTCGGCGCGCGTCCTGGTAGGTTGTAAACCTACAATAGAATAGAGATTACTGATTAGGTGGAATGACAGGCTGAGCACCGCCCAGTAATCAACTGCTCTACCAGAGATACTAGAATGTTTATCATTATGAACATGGTCATGATAGCCTGGGGTCCCCAGGTAAAGCAGTTGATAGCGTTTAATAATTTATTACCCGGTACAACTAAGAGTTGGATAAACAACCAGTTGTAAGAGATTTACTACACGTTGTATGCCGCATGCAATCAAAAAGGGTTGCAGTGTGTGTCAATAAGAGATCGAATATACTTATAGAATTAAAGATGTGGAGGCAGATTAACAGTATTATTATAACTTGTTTTTCATTGATCCAATGAAATAGTTTAGTTGGATGATACTGATAGAAATTGCAATTAACTGAAATTAAAAAGTTGTCCTATCTTAGACAATAAGTTTGCATTGAAATAATGTATGAAATAATCAATGGACTTTAATTTGGACGGACCTTAAAAATAAACGGACGGACATTAAAATGAACGCTAGGGCCTCCAGCTTTCAATTAATGTCCGTTCAAATAAGGTCCGATAAGGTAATACTAATAGCAATACGCAGTAAATAAGCTCCAATTTGTTATTGTTTATTTGTGGGTTCACCTTGTATTCGATTAAGACAATGGTTGTAAAAAAATGGTTTTGAATATAGCGGTAAAAGTAATATTAAATAAAAGAAGGCAAGGGAAGTCAAATAATATAATATAATTGATAATAATCAAATCAAAATTCAAAATAATAACATAGTATAGTCCATACTCAAAAATAGAAACATGGTATAGAGTATAATAGTCCATAGCCATGTACTGATACTCATTATGATAAATATATGTACACATATAATTAATTATTAAAGCGTTACGATTTAACACTTATAAATATAAGTTCATGTTTGTTAGCACTTTGTCAAACACGAGCGAGAACAGAGAAACGAACACGTTTATATAATTAATTAAATAGAAGTATCATTTTCCGTTCAGATTGAATGTACGGTACTACCAAGTTCAAAATTGGCATATAACTTACTTACTGACTAGGATTTTTTGGGTAAAATAGTGTAATTTGGAACCACATCTATTTTTGAGTAAATTTTTTTTCTATTCGAAACACAATTCTGATAATACGATAGCTTTCTTACATCAACTTAAACCTAAGTTGACACTTAAGTAGGCCAAATCTCCAGTAGAGTTTTTTATTGAAACTAACTTAATTAAAAGCCCTTTCAGAAATTTAACCCTGAATTAATTTACAAAAAGCTATTTACAAAAAGCTATTTACAAATAGATAGTGCCTATTATTAAGAATCCGTTATCTCAGTTGGTGCATGATCATTTGCGGGGCCAATGTTTCTCATTCCATTTATTTCTTCCGCTGCATGCTCTGCCGTTTTTACTTAATCAGTTGGTGCAGGATCATTTGCGGGGCCAATGTTTCTCATTCCAACTATTTCTTCCACTGCATGCTCTGCCGTTTTTACTGAATCAGTTGGTGCAGGATCATTTGCGGGGCCAATGTTTCTCATTCCAACTATTTCTTCCACTGCATGCTCTGCCGTTTTTACTAAATCAGTTGGTGCAGGATCATTTGCGGGGCCAATGTTTCTCATTCCAACTATTTCTTCCGCTGCATGCTCTGCCGTTTTTACTTAATCAGTTGGTGCAGGATCATTTGCGGGGCCAATGTTTCTCATTCCAACTATTTCTTCCACTGCATGCTCTGCCGTTTTTACTAAATCAGTTGGTGCAGGATCATTTGCGGGGCCAATGTTTCTCATTCCAACTATTTCTTCCACTGCATGCTCTGCCGTTATTACTAAATCAGTCGGTGCAGGATCATTTGCGGGGCCAATGTTTCTCATTTCAACTATTTCTTCCGCTGTATGCTCTGCCGTTTTTACTAAATCAATTGGTGCAGGATCATTTGCGGGGCCAATGTTTCTCATTCCAACTATTTCTTCCACTGCATGCTCTGCCGTTTTTACTAAATCAGTCGGTGCAGGATCATTTGCGGGGCCAATGTTTCTCATTCCAACTATTTCTTCCGCTGCATGCTCTGCCGTTATTACTAAATCAGTTGTTGCAGGATCATTTGCGGGGCCAATGTTTCTCATTTCAACTATTTCTTCCACTGCATGCTCTGCCGTTATTACTAAATCAGTTGTTACAGGATCTGGATCATTTGCGGGGCAAGTTACATTTCCTATGCAGAAGTGCACAAGATTATTTCTCCCACGCCTACAGAGGTTCCACACTATTGATGTTCCAGAAACAAACAAGGATTTATGTGTTTGGAGTTTAAGGTATTTGGCGATGGTATCATCATAAAGGAGAGGGTTAATCATTGAGTTTATTGGTAAAATACCAATGGAGAACATTGAGTATAAAAATGTTGCATCCAGCACTTCACACGAATGTAGGACACAGATTACAATGAATGGTACCCAGCAGATAAAATCCGTACAGATGATAATTGCGATCTTTCTATTAGTTCTCCTCCT